TCCATCTATGCTTGTAACTACAAAGTTTAGTAGTTGTACCATGTTAGCATGCCAACATTAGCTTATTAGCAGTAAGTGCAGTCTAAGCGGATGGGAATTTGGTTAGTTTAGCATGTATTTTACATTTCAGCAAAGAATGGGAAAAAACACAAATCCTGACATAATGTTAGTGCTTACCAAAGCCAGAAAGATACCAAGACTGTTTCCTGCTAGACTCCTAGTAAAATTCTCCATTAAATGGGGTGTGACCACTGCATTTGATCAAATAACATTTAGTGAGCGAGCAGGCAGGGATGATGATGTTTGTATCCTGGCCTCAGTGGTCAGCTTGTGTGATCTTCTTGACCAATCTGCTTCACGCCCTTTTCTGCTGGCCAGTAAGTGTTCACCACTCGTCTGTTGATACTGTGAATACATCCGATTACACCTAGCATTGAAAGAACTCAAAAACTGTCATCACTGTCATAACTCTGTCACTCCATCTGCCATTTCAGCGTCATCCTTTTATCGTCTTGTTCTGCACCCTGTGACCCTCTCCCCCTTCCTGTCCATCAGTGAAGTTCTGCAGCTGTCAGGTACATGTGTGAACAGGAAAGTCAGGAGGATTTTAGGGGGCAGCCTTTTTGTAATTTTCAAGAAATTTTCAGGAGTGCACGTGTGAAAGAGGCTTATGCTAGATTTGTGTTACTTTCTGGAAATGCTTAAATCCCTCGCTCATAGAAGAGGTGGTCTGTTGTTTCAAACAGTGTGTCACCATGGCAAAACAAGCCATCAGCCTTCCTCCAACTGTCTCTGACCTCTGATGAGCGGAAGTAGAGTAGAGTGCAGGCAGCAGTGCTAGGAGTGACATTAAATGATAGGGACAGTGACTAAGGGCGTGCAAATGTCACCATGGATCTTCTGGAGGTGTCACACAGTTGGACACACTGTTGAACACAAACACACACAGAAGCCTGACTTTTAAGGGCTCACCCCAAGGGAGAGGAGTGTCAAAGAACGTTCACATGAAGCATGGTTATTTGTTAACTTGGACATTAGAGCAAACCGTTCAAGAGTTTCTCAACACAAACTAGATGCACCGTGATTACTGAAAACATGTGCAGAAAAATAGGTATAGGGTTTGATGAGATGAAAACAAATTTTCCTTTGTGATTCTCATAGAAGAAAACAAAGTCATGGCATGCTCAAATCCTTAAACTAATCAGTCCTCAATCACTCACACCACAAGCCCGGAGATAAATTCAGCACATCATAAATCCTGTTTAGAGCTTCGTAGCCATGTGACAAGCTCACCTCTTTATCAGAGAGCTATTGGCTGGTAGCTACAGCTCGATAACGGCCCGGACTGTTTACAGATCCCTGCTGGAAACTGACACTTACATTAATGTAGCCTCAAGAATCTTGAGTAAAGTCCATAGCTTGTGTTTGAGCATATTTGGGTGAGTTTGGTTGGCTGGTTTCAGAAATCAAGAGAATGACTGTACATTTTGAAACAGTTATAGGAGTATTTGTGTTAACCGCTTCCAAAGATCTGAAGATTTTATCGCATAATTTGACTTTAAAACTTTGTTGTTTTCTCATTTTTTCCCATGTTTTGTCTTTTTCAAACATAGATAGTGTACAGTATGCCTGTAGTTATTCCCTGTTAACAATTAAATTCCCTACCTAATGCTGCATGAAAAAAATGTATACAAGTATTGAAATAATACTTGTAATCCAAATCAGCTGGTGTGAATTGCATAAAAAAAAAAAAAAAAAAAAAATCCAAGCTTTGGACAATTTCTTGTTATAATGTACAACACTTGGCAACGAAAATCAGCACCACATATTTGTGTATAAACCCTGCATATGAGGCTGTTTCAAAACGCATAGCACACAGTTCAACATTGTCTATAAAGAATTGCATTTTATGTTTTAGATGTCAGTCAGAAGCAGAAGTTGTGGACTCACCGTTGATGGTGCTGCGCTGAGCGTCCTGGTGTCCTCTCGCTTTGTCTATCTGTCCAACTTTTTGCAATGTTGGCTTGGGCCCAGCCTCATCCCACACTTTTCAAATATACACAAACACACACACACACTGACACACACACACTCACAGAGTAAACAGAGAGAAAAGAGACAGTCTCTCTTGATGTGTGTTTGAGTTTGAACCTGACCAAAGATCTTCTTTCCCCTGTAAATGTTCTCTTGCAGGACAAAGGATGTGAGTGGCAACAACAAAATGCTGCAGACATTCTAAAGAAAAGACATGAAAACATAGCTGGAAACACTAACATGTGATGGTAATGTGTGTCATCATTGTACAATTTAAAACATTACATATAAATGTCATGCTTCGGGCCTCTTGGCTGCATTGTGGGATTTAACGAGTCACAAAGCCTTCCTCCCAGCCCTGCTTATAGGACTCATCTCATTAAGAAATTCCCAGTATGGAGTGTTTATAAACATCTTCATGTTCATCCCTCGTGATAGATGGATGTTCCCTATCACTGGCTCTTCCTGCTAACTCCCTAGCCTGCGTTACAAGCTCTCTGCCACTGTTTCACAACTGCACACACGCACGCACGCACGCACGCACGCACGCACGCACGCACGCACGCACGCACACACACACACACACACACACACACACACACACACACTTACTGAGCTCCTGATACTTTTTTTGCTGGCCTTGCTTTCTCTGTGTGTGGGCCCTTACATGTTTGAGTGAGGGTGATGTGATTGCATTATGTTTAATACAGAGGTTAAGTGTGTGTGTGTCTGCGCGTGTGTGTGTGTGTGTGTGTGTGTGTGTGTGGGTGTGTGGGTGTGTGTGTGTGTGTGTGTGTGTGTGTGTGTGTGTGTGTGTGTGTGTGTGTGTGTGTGTGTGTGTGTGTGTGTGGGTGGGGGTGGTGTGGGTGGGGGTGGTGTGGGGGAGAAGGGTGCAACTGAGAGGCCAGTGTGACTCTGCTAATGAAGAAAAACAACATGGCTGTCAAGGCCTCCCAGGAGCAGGTCAAACAGCCACTGGGGGGGTTTTGGGGTCAGCAAAGGCAGAGGGTCAAAGGTCAACATCAAGGCCAAGATCAGGCCTTGACCTCTGCTGGGCTTAAAAAGAAGTGAGAGTTGAAGAGAGTAAATGGTTAGTGAGGAAATAATAATAAATAATAATAAAAAATAATACAATTTTTTACAAATATAAATGAGAAGGGGGGGGGGGGGATGAAACACCATTAGTAAGCATATTGTATGGAAGCCTGTCAGGGCCAGGCATGACGGAAACAAACTTTCAGAAATACAGTATTTCTGGGAATTACATGAAATATTTCAAAGAAAGATATTTTTTCACTTAAACTGTGGAAGCGTATTGCATTCATGAGGGGAATGTTTTTGTTGTTGCCTGGTTTCTTGTTATTACAAGAGAATTGGTGGAACGTCATATGTTTTTTCTCATCGCTGGCATTAACACTAGCCTCTTATTTATTGCCAGTTTAAGGAAGGGTATTTAAGCCCCTGCTACACCTTGTTTTAGGGTTTTAGGATGGATCATGGATGTAAGTCGGGTGTCGGATCATTTTTCAGATCAGCAAAATAAAAATAAAAAAGGGAGAAATTTAAATTACCCAGTCTTTATTTTTCTTGTTTGAGCTTCGACAATGTTAATCATAAACACACACACAAATTATTATTATTATTATCAAATGTGTGAGCATCTTTTGCACTGGCTGCTCCTGCATTGAGTGTTGTGTGAGTGACATCAATTATCAAACAGGGAACATGGGTTTAGGGACAATAGTTAACACAGTGCTGTTGAACAGATTGTGTGGATACGTTTGCAGCTACAGGCTACAACAGGCCGTGGGGTATCATTAAGTAAATTAGTTCACCAATTGTTGTCATAGGCAACCACGATCAGATAGCTGCATCACAAATAGGTACGTGGTGAGAGTGAACAGAGAAAAGAAAAAGTGATCGATTAAGAAGCCACTCGTGCTGAAAAGTAAACACGTTACAACCCAATTCTACGTGAAAGTGGATCAGACTGTCTTCTCATTTGTACAGCGTATCTCCATGTCACCTACACACAACATTAAAACCCTGCTTTCTTCTCTCTGAGACTCTGCACAGGGATTTATTAAACACCATGGTGATAAATCTTCATAAATCTGCAGGTCGTTTGGTACAGATCGTTGATCAATTGTTATCCATTGAAGCACTACCCAGTCAGTCATTTGTAACGCACAGAGGCAGGATATTAGGAGAAGTCTGTGATCGACTGTCAGAGGTAGTGACAGAGGTGTAACAGGTGAGATGGTGGTGATGTATGATGGCAGAGCCAGCGAGGTGGAACATCGCTTTGTGTGTGTGCGCATGTCTTTTTTTTTAAAGATTTATTTTTGGGCTTTTTGGGCCTTTAATGGAGAGTTAGGACCGTGGACAGAGTTGGGAATCAGGGAGAGGGAGAGTGGGGAATGACATGTGGGACAGGAGCCACAGGCTGAATTAGAACCTGGGATGCCCGCATGGAAGACTATAGCCTTCATACATGGGGCACACACACTAACCACTGCGCCACCAGCGCCCCAATGTGTGTGCATGTCTGAGTGTGTATGTGGAGCTACTGCTGTTTGTCTACACACTGTGCCTCTTGTGCTTCTGTAACACCGTAATGCTTCATGAAATCGCACACTGGGACACCAATATAACATCATTGTGGATGCAATGTTTAAGTACCTCGGCTAAGGGAAGGGGGAACTTTGTTATGGTGCTGCTGCAGAATTGCAATCTATAAAGGACTATCAAAAGCTCGACTTTACTAATCCTGGTCCTAAAACTGAAAGTTCAAATTTATTCTCCATGTTACAACCTTTTAGTCAATGCTGTGATTTTTTTTTCCAAATACAGAAAAAACCTCCGGCTTCATATTCGTTATTCTGTTGCTCTGACACTCTTCTGTAGGATTGGAACATGCCACAGAAGTAAGTATGTTTATCTTAAATATAAAACTACAGAGAAAATGGGTTTTATATTTATTTAATCTGTACAGTACACTGACCAACTGAACATTTTTCATACTTCTCAAAGTACAAAACAAACGTTTGGTGTGCAAAACTGAGACTGTATCCAAAAATGTAGCATTGTAGTGAAAAATGTGTTTTATCTCCAGTGCAAACAAAACTGGTCGAGAGTCTGTATTAAAATAAAATAAGTTAATGACTTTAATTTTATATATAACTAAAGTGCACCAAAAAAGAAAACATGCTTAAAACATTCTTGTTGATTCCAGTATATTGAAAATGGACTAAATACAATTTACAATAGCAAACATTTTGCAGACACGTCACTGAAGCAGATTCAAGTTACATGAGATCGTTGTGAAGAGTGTAAACGCGGCGCTTCACGTAGTGGTTATTGTCATAACCGTTAGACTATTTGGCAACTTCAAAAACACAGAATTTAAAATGAATTACAAACTCTGTGTGGTCTGGTTAACCCTACCAGCAGGTTTGAGGCTTGGCTTTAGTTTGAGGTCGTGACCTAAAACCTCGAGGACTTCATCTTGTGTTGTGGTCCATGTATGACACCTGAAACTCTACACACCTTTAAAACATTAAAGGTCACTTTGAGCACATCACTGCAGCTGAACCCAAGTGAAGAACTTCACCTTTCACAGTACATTTGTGTTTAAAAACACATTATAAACACTAAACAAGCACAATAAATAAAATCAGACAATTAAGCTTAAATGTACAACTTGGTCATCCTGATTTAGTTTGAATTATGATTGAGGGTTCACTTGAAGTGAGTGTCTGCTCGTGTCCCTTTAGTGCACTCATGGTTGGTTGGTTCAGCTCGTCATCAGAGGCGTTTTTTCATCGCTTTCGCTGTCGACCTCCTGCTTTGGTTTACGGTACATCAGGAACTGGACAGAGATCTGAACCACAGCGTTAAGGAAATTTAAAAAGGACTTCCTGGGAAAGAGTGTTCATGGGTGAAAACATCTGAGAGAAACAGAAAATATAAAGAACTGAAGATGTGTTTGTGTTCATGTCTGTTGGTGCAGATACTTACCTGTGTATAGATGTGCATGCCTGGGTGTATGTATATGCATGAACGTGCATTTTCAAGAGAATATCATAAATATGGTAAATTATTTGAATTATTAATATATCTTTAAAAATGTAACACTAAATTTCCAACGCCTAAGCACGCTACCAACCGTCACATATTCTGCTCTAGCATTACCAGCTGGAATCTTAGTATTGAATTAGTCCACCATGAAGTTTTTTAACAACCACTTTCCAATGTCTGTCCATGAATTGAAGCTACAGGCAGCAGATGTTAGCTTAGTGACACATAAAGACAGAACGCAGCTAACCTGGCTCTGCCAAAAACGAGAAAAAAACACTCCAGAAAAAATGTATACAAGTATTCTGCATACGCTAGAGCCGATTTCAACGAAGCCTAAAATATAATGCTTGAGCTGAAAATCTCTGATTATGATATTTAGAAAACTAAAGTGATTATGGCATCTGTTCAGTCAAAGCTTTACACTGTTACCATGGCGACTGAATGTAACTGAGTCCTACACAGAGAAATGATTCACTTTATTTTGTACCGTGTGAGAAAAACTCATCACTTTGGTCTGCTAGCACATGACAGATTCCCCCAAAAAAGCTGCATTGTGATTGGTTGCTCTGATGAGGATACAGCCAATACAGGCAAAGAGAAAAACAAGAATGGGAAACTATGGGATCCTGAAACACTGTAGAGGTTGAAGCTATTCAAAGCAGGCCTGGTTTAGGATCTTTTTGTTAGATATTATCCGGTGAATAAATCTAATTCTTATAAGTCTCAAAGTATTTGATCCCTGTCTTATCACTCCGGTTGTTGAAAATGCTGCGAAAGAGCTATAACGATTTTGTTAAAAAAAATGCTTGCTTCTCTGACATTCAAAAGATGCTACGATGATCCTTTGTTGTGCTGTAATCTATTCAGAGCAGGCTCTACATAAAGCAACACCAGTCAACGGGTAACATGCCTCTGCCTTTTACATTCTTTGAAAACAAAGCAGCGAACGATTGTGAGACAAATGGTGCTGCCTCTGAAGAGCACTTAACCATGTGGGCGTTTGCATCGTTAATACTACAGATTGTGTTTCCACGAAAGAGGTCATGAGACTTAAATGATCCCGCCCTCTCTGCAAGCTCAGCACTTCCTAAAAATGTAACATGTATGTGGCATTAAGGAGAGCCCTGAGGCCCGGCGGCTACAGCTGCTGTGGGTTTTTCTTTTGTTCTTTCTATAAAAGGATACCATGATGTCCAGGAAGAGGGTGCCGAGGCTGCCGACCAGCCAGGGCAGGTGGTGGACCAGGTAGCTCCTCTCTCCATGGCCGTCATCAGGGTTCTTTAGCAGGACACTCATGCCGTACAAGGTGTTCCCCAGGATGACCAGAGCGAACAGGAAGTAAGACACCCCTTCTGTCGACTTCCTTTTGTACTGTGGGGAGAAATGAGAGAAGATGTAACATACATTTTTTCAGTGACATGTGCAGAGGCATCATCAATGCTGCTTTTGAATTTTACTCACATCTTCACACACTTTAAATTTGATGGCCCTTTACATACTTAGTCGTTTTATTTTATTTGTATGGACAAGATTGAACCGAAATGTTGCCATGCGATGTATTGTAGCAGACTTGGCTTAAAGCTTGATCAGACCATTTTATATCCTAATGGAAATATTCCTGGTAAAATAAAAATGTATAAATTAAACTTGCTCTCATCTGCAGTCTCTTTGCAGGTCACAGTTACAGACCGCAGTTCTAAACAGCACAGAATAAATAAGACAACGGTGCACACATACCTCATATTAACACGTAGCAGTACATCACAAACATGCACTTTCACACCAGCAATGAGAGTGTTAGTTAAGAGGGAATGGGAAAGTGGTGTTTGTAAAGTTTGGTGTCTTTGAGTAGATGTTTCAGTTTGGTCATCTGATATAAATAATTCATATTTATATTTTATATATTCACAATTTTCTGTGTGCATCCACAAACACCAAAACAACTGCTATTTGGATGAAATGGCTGTTTGTGTTTTTAGGTGTTTTATTTGTTTGGACATCACTGAAGGTGCATCTTTACATTTCATTTGTACACACCTGTTAATTTGCTCTGGAGTTCATGTGCACACATGCCTGCAGGCTTCATTTGCGCTATTGTTTAGTTGAAATACATTCTATACATTGTCAGATAGTGCATATCATCTTCATCATCAAACACACCTTTACAGCTCATATGTCTGCTTCTTTTACCACTTCTGATTTATCTTTAATTATACAGGTTTTTTCACTAGTTTGTAGATTTAACTTGTTGCACGCTCTGCACATTATCATGAGAAGGATACCTGACTTGAAATGTCAAACTTGAATTGCTGGTAGTTCAATAACTCATGTTTTGTAAAGCGATTCAAGAAGTTCCTTTTTTGGTTAACTACTGAAACTAGAAGAGGTCAAAAAGCTCCAGCAGCATGAGTAGTATGAAGTTCAACTTTATAGATAGAAGGAAATGAATGATGATTAATGATGTGTTTGTTTTATTATTTTTATGTATTGTTTCTTTACTGTTGTTGAACCTCAATCCACCAGAACCCAACACTGATGTTCACTGTTGGTCTGCAGACGTAACTGAAAGAAGAATTGCTGTATACAACATCTTAACCTGCACTCTAGTTTCTGGACGGCAGACGTCTGACTGATGACACGTTCAAAAAAACCAAAGCCGACTTTTTTGCACTTCCCCATAAAGTGGGATATTTCATTTTATTGGTTTCACATGAGCTGCAAACAAGCAGGTCATGCATTAAAAAGGAAATTCCCTTTTTATTTAAATGCAACTTTTGTTTATTATATTTTGTGTTATTTTGATGTTTTTAGCTTGGTAGCTTTAGCTAACCGAGGAAGCCTCTGATCTTTGACTCTGGTTGTGAAGTCATTTGGTGTTGGGAAAGGTTTGATAATGGTGAGAGAGAAAAAAATATTTACTTTCGAAAATATTCACTCAAAATATCAAATTTCAAAGTCTGCACTATGAGCTGATGTTTAAGTAATGTTATGATGTTCAAATACATTCTAAACAGACACTGAGATAAGTAAAAGTCCATGGACAATAAATACAAAAGGTTTAAACAAATAAGTAGAAAAAACACAGTTAGTGATTTAAAAAGCCGATGGCAGCTGGGACAAATGATTTGTTTAGTCTATTGAAAGTACTGAAAGTTCAATCTGTGACCAGACGGAGGCAACTTAAACTCCGGAAACAAAGGATGACTGCGATCAGCCGGGATTAACTGAGCCTCCTTTAAAGTCTTAGTTTAGTTCAGGTGTGTTCGGCCACTGAGAGTCAAACCTGCACACAGTTTAACTATACACAGCGGTCTGTTGTGATTCCTAAAGCTGAGTGACCCGAAGCAATGACCAAGCAGAGTATGGAAACAGATTCATTAACATGTAAAACATTTTCATATGAGTGTTGTCAACATTAAAACGCTGGGGCTTGCTAAAAAAGATAACACACCGGCAAGCTTTTGTACTTACAGCATCAGCTTGAAGATTGTTATATTGAATTGGATTTTTCACTTTGATCCATTTGTAGTATGTAGGAGTATAAGTATCAGTAGTTATTTATCACTTACAGGATGTAGCCAAACAATCCACACATTAGTAGGAGAATCACTCGAGGCATACTCACGTTAGTGTACATCTGTGGTAGTCTGGAAAACAGGTAGAGCACCGACGACACCGAGCCGATGGAGAATCCGATAATCTCTTTAGGAGTAAACGGCTGAGGAGACAGAAAAGCGGACTCGTTACACCAAAAAGGACTGACATCACTACATCCCTTCCCACTGGGCACTTGTAAAACAAATGAGTGTCACTAACCTTGATACTGTCGATGGTTGAGAGCAACGTGCGACTCCTGAACCCCGAAGAAATAAGTTCCTGTTGGGAGCCCAACCCGGGAAGGGTGACTAGGCTGGTTGTGAAGCCCAGGATGCATGCCACACCCACAACATTTGTGATCGTACTGCCTGGAGAAGACACAACACCTGTTTTCATCCTCAGTGTAAAGAGAGATATCTCAGCACATTTCTTCAGGAGAGGCTTACTGTGTCATAGGTCACCAGAAAAGGAAACAAATGCCACAACACCATGAGGCATGTGATAACATCGTTACAGGGAACAGAGATTACCCTCTTCCTCTGTCTGGACTTGAGTTGGATCATTAAAGGTATCAACATGGATGTAAGATCTCTTTAACTACCGTTAAACAGCTGCACATAAGGACACATCAAGGCTCTACGCAATATAGGAAATGTGTGAGATAACAGATGTGACACCAGAGTGCAAACAAAGCAATAAAACGTGCGCAGCAGAAAACATGAACTTGGATTTTAGAGACTCACTGTCATTCGTTTTGTTCTTCATTTTGTAGTAAATGTACATGGCCAGCATCAACAAGTCTGCTCCGACGTAATAAATGGCCGTGTACGTCTGGAAGACCCGGAGAGAAACAGACATATTTTACAAACTCATACAAAACTTGATTTTTCCCCCGACAAATAAAGTCAATTCTATGAATTTGAGTTCAAATTCTAAGCTCCTTATCTTTTGCGAAGTATGAGAAATGGCTGATTTTCTTGGAATTTCATTACAAAAAAAGTTAATCTTGCAACCATGGAAAATGGACTACTCTGTACCCCTGTATAATTATTGGTTCTGAAAAAAGGGGATTATATTATATCTGAAGGAATTTAATGTTGAGGATAGATGAATTATGATTGAACGTAACAAAGTAAAGACCAATTTCTTGGGGCAACTTGATTGACTGGTTCTTTTATTCTATTGTCCCTTCATGTTTTAATTCTGTACATCCACTTAGTTGCCTCTTAGAAATAAAAAAAACTTTGTAACAAGTTCAATTGTAGCTCTATTTGCTTTTACCCTGAATGTGCTGCTTCTGTTCTTTTTCTATTGTTTTCATTGATATGAAAATGATGCACATCAAAACATTATCAACAACATTATGAATGATGCATTAATAATGCAAGTCCTTTTTCAAGACATAAAAAATAAACATAAGCTTGAAACAGACACTAAACTTTTTTAATAAGTTTGCTTTTTTGTCATGTTCTTCTTGAAATGAAAGAGAAGATTTGCCTGCACGCTTGCTCAAATGCCACGTGTCTCATTTAATCACAACTTTTCGACCAGAGGTGTTCTCGTCTCTTTGTGGCATTTGAGCTCGTGTGCGGACATATCTCCTTCTCTCTGCTGTTTTCTGTACCTACGTGATGTTTGTGTGTAACTACATCCCTTATTCTTTAAATGAAAGAAAATCGAGTTAGTTTCTTTTTTTAAATCCTAGTGTTTCTCATTCCTTTAACATTTTATAGACCAAACAATTCTTAAAAACATTTTTTCATGTTTCCAGTTCAAAATAAAACAAAGGGTTTCAGCCATACTGTGTCATGGGACACACTGAGTCAATCACATCACTGCAAGTCACCTGAAGTGGAAGCTGGTCTGCCAAGAAGGAGCCCACCAGATTGCAGGAGTCGCCTCCTAACCACAACACCAGGAACCAAATAGAAATGGCACTGTCCATGTTCCCTGTTTTACAAGAGTTGATGTACTGTCTGCGATCAGAAAAAAAGAAGAAATGTAGTTGGTGCCTGGAGAAGAGAGCACCTCTTTTGAGAAGCCAAACTGTTGCTATAAACTGAAAACAAAACTTACGGAAGAGAAGACACCATGAAGCAGAGGATGGACACGAGGCCTGCGAAGACGCTGGCCATGTCTCTGCCATCCCGGGCACATTCTCCGAGCCCTTCCCAAACCCATTTAGACCCATTAGGGCACAAGGAAGTAAAGTTTGAATCAGTGGTCGATCCAAAAAGACTCTGTGTAGGGACTGCAATGGCCCCCATTATCTGTAAGGGAGAACAGCCTTTGTAAACATCAGATATATTACTAAAAGACATCATTTCCCTACGTTGTTTGATTCCCATTCCATATTTAAACCTATTAGCAAAGTTTAAATGCATCCAGGAGACCACAGGGAATAACACATCTGCCTTGACCATATGGTACAGATGTGGAGCTTCATTACATGGTCAAATCAGCCATTTGAACAACAGAAAGAAAGCATTATATGGACCATACATATCGACAAACAGCATGTTTCAATTAAACTCTATTTTACATCAGTGGAAGATGTTAAACACTTCAGAACAACATGAGAAAAGTCCGTCGACAGCAGATTAGATGTGTAGCTACATTGTATGCTGGGTAAAGCTAAAAGAAAAATATACAAACAAACCATCAACAGAAACCAGCGAATAATAAAACATAATGATCTGTTAGCTTCGTAGCTACCTAACAACAACAACAACAACGTTTGAGGCTTTTTCGTTGAAAACGATAAAAAATCAAATGAAAGCAGTAACTTCTCTTGCCTGTGTAGCCGCTGACATGACGACAGACTCCTCAGCAGAACAAAAACCACCGAGAGACTGAGGGGGCAAAAAAAAAAAACACGGAAGCAAGTGATAAACAAGCGTCTACAGTGTCAGTGCGCTGATTGGTCAGTGCGTCAGAACGTCAGTCAGCGTCACGACGTCACGACAGTAGTCTTCAGAATAATCACGTGACTTGCAGCGCCTGAGCTCTATAACAATTCAGCAAGGCTTTCAAAAACTAGGACATTTATATTTTGTCATTTAATGGGAAAAAATATAGACGTTGTATGTTACATATTTGTTAAATTTTCCAACAAATAATTTATTAGCATAAGCTACACATGTGTTTAGGAACACGGGTACAACTTTCATCCGATTATTTTGATTTTAACACTCGGCTAAAACTGATCCTAGGCTCTGAATTTTGATTTGATCCGATCAGCATTGGTGGTCTGAGCAGGGAATCCCTGAAATTCGTGAAAGATTTGTGGGACAAGCTATTGGTATGCTTTCATGTAAATGTGACTTTTATGTGGAACTGGAGGAAACAAAGTGTTACTCTTCTGATGTCCCAGTCCTCAACATTTCACATGGTCTCCTCACATATCTATAAGCCTTGCTAAACTGGACAATTTCGCTCCACATGGTAATTCAGTCATTAGCGAGGCCTCCTACATTCTTTAACAAAGCTTTGCATTTTAGTGTACAGCCGTGAAAATCAATGCACTTCTAATATCCAGGTCAAGAGTAAATCCTTTTAGAAAGGGCTCGTATGCAAATGTTTGCTCTCCGTGATCGTTAGGATGTCTTTAAAGTTCATTATATAGTAACAGCTCATTTTAATGTAAAGATGTTCAGGTGGATCATTGAAGTCATCACCAAACAAAGACTTTACATTTCACCACTACAACTTGTGCTACTTCCCTTGTTAACTTTCCAATAGTTATCAGTTTTACTTTGTTGTTTGTGACTCAAGTCAGTCAAAAATCATTCAAATCATTGTGACAAAGAAAGAGAAAACGTCCTACCCGGAAAAGACGATTAAATCCACGTCAGACTTTGAATGAAAAGAAAAAGGAAGGATACCTGATGATGCAGTGTTTGTCATCTGACTGTATGTCGACCTGACGACTCAGCATTTAAGCAACCTGACGTCAGCTCGTCAAGTTTACTGCAAGGCAAGTGTCTTCTGTGTCATGTGCTTCAAGTTGAAAATGTCCCATCATAGGAGAAAGGGAATCCAAAAACACTTAATTGCAACAAAATGTATCACAAGTGAACTCAGTGGAGGGTCTAGTTTACTACTACTAGCTCAGTGTTTTGCTTAGTGTTAAAACTTGTCGTGCGGCCTTCTTGGAGAGACTTACTTTGCTTTTCAATACCAAATGTTTTCAAAACAAGTCATATTTTTAAACTAGAGAGAAAGAGGCTATGAGCACCTTCTAAATTGTAAAACTACATTGGCGACTATAATCGTGCCAACATATCTGTGTAATTCTGTACAGCCGGCTGTTTTTTGATTATTAAAAGCAGGAAAGATCCCTCATATTCAATGTTTCCGACTTCTATTTTATTGCCCTGTTAATGTGTCTCTGATTTTCTCAATCCTCCTTTTAACTGGCATGATAATCTTTACACTGAATAACGTAGTCAGGGTGAATGCAAACAGGCTCTTTCTTCCTGCACAGTGTTAATGCTTTCTGTATCAGACCAGGTCGAACAGTCGAGAAGTCAATCTCTAGTTTATGGATTTGTTTTCTTTGGTAGGTTAAATTAAGGCCATAAGTTATTCCATAAGTGACTTGCCAGGAGCTTCTGTTGTATTATGAGCTCAGAGTTTTTGAAGACATGTTTCTTGAATCCTGGATAAATTAAAAAAAAAAAGATCTTCATGTCGAGCCTGTGTGAGACTAATTTTTTTGTTGTTTTTGTACTTCAGGTAAGCGCATCCCGCAGACTCAAAACTCAACTACACATTCTTTTTTTGATATATTTCCAGAACAGGTTTTTATTGATGACGCACCCAAACATCTATACTGCAGGAATTCCTTCAGTAGGCTAGATTTCTCTTATTTACATAACGCTTCCACAAATTCATACAAATACTCGGTGAGTCAAAGTATAGATATAACACATTAAGAATTGGAAACAGGGAATTAAAATGTTTTATAAAGCAACTTTCACAACAACTCTACAAATGAAAATGAATGATAGAAAAGAAACAACCAATCATTAACTACTGCAAAACAAGTCCTACTTCAAAACGCTGTACAGGCGAGTTCTTGAGTGTCCATGAAATGCGGAGGGATGCTGCTCTTCTATGTGTCCGTCCTCCAGAGTTCTAAGGAAGGCAGACGTCTATTGGAATTGAGAATAATTCTTTTGAAGGCAAGGATGAGATAAACCAAGCAGTTTGTACAAGCAAGTCTTGTCCTTTTAATATGCTGCCTCAAACAAATAAGAAGTGTTGTTCATGAGGAAGACAGTTTTTCCCTTCTCTTGTTTCTCTTGAGGCTTGTTCTCACTTTATGTGGAGCACTTTCTCATCTGTTTTTAAACGTTTGCGCCTCGGCTGTATGAAGTCCTCCTCGGAGTCGTCTGTGTCGTTGTCCTCCTTTGCCTGCGTGTCCATGGACTCGGACTCGGGTGTTTCAGGGAAGTTCTGCCCCGGGAAGATCTCCGATAACTTCTCCTCAAAGTAAAGGCTCACTGCCTTGCCGGATATCGCCATCTCTGATCCCACCTGCCAGAGGAGGAGAAGGAGGAGGCGGAGAAGGATGAGGAAAGATGGAGGAGAGGAAGAGGGTGAAGAGTGGACAGGAGTAAGCAGGTGTTAAGGGAGTACCGTTGAGCAGGAGGAGTGAATGGGTTGAAGTAGGGAGGAGGAAGAAGAGAATGAGGAGACAAATTAGATCTGGTTAACACTGTTGGTGGCAAGGCGGCTCTGGCTCAACCTTGCTGAACAGAGCAGAGATGTCCTGCCGCTCCGTCCCACTGTGGCTCCATGATGCATTTCCACAACTCAGAATAAAGCCTCAAAGTTTTGACAAGGCTGGCTGCAAACAACTGACATTAAAAATCATTCTGTGGCTGATCAAATAGAGCCTAACTCATCCTCTGAACTGGAAACAGATGATGCATGAAGATTCAATTTGGCGTCATGCATAAGTGCAAAGGCTCCTGACTCTCCAGTTCAGTGTGTTACATCTTCAGCTCTTATACCGTGGCACTTTATCCCTCTACTTATTTATATATACACTGGGTCTGATATTGTCATATTTATTTGGATGTGTTTCCTTTCGTTCATTTCTGTTAATCTTTTTAATTTTGTGGTTAAGTATGTCCTTTTTACTTTGATGCACCAATCAGGAGTAGCCATCTTATTGTTGTTTAATCCTATCACGCAATGACAACAAAGGCTTTCAATTCAATTCAGTCGTGATGATCATGATGATGTACTTAGAAATCCAAAACACACAAAGGGGGGCCTGGACTGAAGATAATGAGCAGCTGCAGGAACATCCTGACCTAACAGGTTTTATCACAGGTCGGAGCAGGTCATGATTTGTTTTAGGTGTCAAATGTTGCTCTTAATATTCAGCTTCTACTGAATTGTCCTACACAAATGTGTTTGTTTTTAAGTAAGGAATATAACAGACAGTAAGCAGTAGCCTGTGTATAATGTTATAAGATTTATATTTCCTGCCCTGGAGTTATTGGTTACTTTGGGACAGTTGACATGATAAGCTTTGGGAGGGTATTAAAAAAGTTAAAAATATCTGAGCTGGAGCAATATAGCATAAAAGAGAGTGACTTTGGTTTCTGCATGGCAAACAAATGATAGATTGAATCTCTGCACCGCGATAAAATCTGTGATTAGAAAACACGTTTAGGCTGCTACAGCAGGTTTGTGATTTAGGTGTACAGCTGCTATGTAATGCATTTATTCAGTTTAGTCTGCTGAAGAAACAGTCACATATTTGTAGTTATTTGTTGGGAAATTCATAACTCCCTGTGAAACTGTAAACACAGGTCTCTTATATGGCTGCTGCATACATTACATTAGACCACTCAGGGATAAAATGACTGCATTGTTTTAATTAATTTAGTGTGTTTCTTTACATAAATAACTTCCCCTTCTCTACATATTGGCTCTTTAAAGGAAACAAAGAATTCAGTAAATAGTGAATGTTAGAAATCCCCCCGTCTCGGCTTAGTATGTATCCTTCCTCGAATGATGAAAAAAAAAACCTACACCTTTGTCTCTCAAATTCTTCTTTCACTTAATTCTTAACACGTCAGTTTATATTCTCATATCCACATATTTTCATGTGGACAGTCTGAATCTCTTTCTCATGAACAGTCTATGTTCCCTTTGTCTTTGTGTGCTCCAGGCTGTGACTTTGTGTTTTTGTCTTTGTATTCCTTTTATTTCAATTCCAACCTTCACCGGTAAGAAGTCACAGTCACATTTTTTAGATGCGCTTTTAGTAGTCCATTTTCAGAAAATTGTAGTTTCACCACGGCAGACCCACGCCATTAACCTCCACCTTCGTATGATTACGGTCGGATTGTCAGAGCAACGCAGTCGCCTTTCCTTTAGTCCTTTATAAATTCTCCTAACATCTTTCCTTAACCTCATGATGTTTTCCTCGGGGTTAAGGTTAAGACAATAGTGAAAGAGGATAGGAGGGACAATCCGAATCCACCCTAAGTTTGGACCTTGCTGCAGTGACATTCAGGTGAAACAGGAAAGCAGCTCAATACTGATTTATTGCCTGAGGTTAAGTCACTCTTCAAAGTGCTCCAGTTTTGTAGAAAACTCTTTCCTCATCATGTATTTTTATCCAATATATGCATCTATTTTCACACATACATACACTTTTCCTTTAGTCATCAAAATGTAATATTCATTCTTTTCTATTGATCTATCGGTACGTATTCACTTCACATATTAAATGTTTGGTGAAGTCACTTTAGTCACGCATATCATAAATATCTAAAAGAGAAACAGAAATCATGAAAATTAAAGTGAAAGCTTATCAGATGTCATGTAAGAGATCCTAGATTACACTTACGATTAAACCAGAGAATAAGTGTTTTTGAACACGTCTTGTCTGAACATAGACCGCTTGGGAATGTTTATCACGGAACTGAATGATCCAAACAAAGGTTTAATGCAGCGCCAGGTGTCATACAGAGGAAGAACACTTGATAAAGTTTAAATAGCTGAAGTCAATTTAACCAAACAGCACATAGACATTTGTAAATATCATCGTATTGATTCTCAGGGAGGAAAAGATTTTCTGTAGCCTCAGTGGGAAGTGGGACAGGTCATCTGTGCTCCATTTGAAACGGCTTACCTGATTATTAATCTGTTTCTCCTCATCATAAACCTGGATAATTCGAGACATCTAAAGAGGGGTAATAACATTATAACACACAGTGAAGCAGCAGGAAGAAAGAAAAGTTGACAGCACAGGCAGGTTAGATAATAACAGATCAGAAATCTGTTCACGACCAGCTGTGCTCAGGCCCACGAGGGGAGCATCACCAAGCTGTTACTGCCCAAATTAACAGCAAGTTAAGTCTGCACTCAGGGAGAGAGCTGATATGTTGTGTGTGTATATCAAGGTCCTCATAACAATTCCCTGCCCCACAATGACTACTTGCAGATAGACGGACGCAAAGATGGCCCCAAATGTTGACAGAAATGTCAGAGGAAAATGTCTTATTGAAGAGCAACTGCTTCTTTAATTATACATATCCAATTTTCTGTAATTAGAATTTTTTGGCAGGTTTTAAAGCCTCCGGTTACAGACGAAGATATAATCACAAAAGTTTGACTTTATTTTGAAAATACTGACCATAACTTGTTCTATTCTCTGCTCGGGAGAGCTTGTATGTGCAAGTAAGCACTATGCAATGACTTTTAAACTTTTAAAAAATAGGACTTCCTCTTTGTTCTTTTGTCATGTAAACTTAAATGGCACTAGATGCATTGAGCATCTACCCAAGAATGATTAACCAGAATCATTCTCAGTTCTGGTTTCTGTTAATTTTGGCGACATGTTAACATCATGTGTTTGGTGAAATTTTCCAGCAAGGCTCAGAGCTCTGACTATGAAACATTGCCAAAAGAAGTGTCGTCTCGGGGTAGTGAAATAAGAGCTCCCTCTTGTGGGGGAAAGGTGTAAGACATCATATAGATTTTTTTGTTGTAGATTAGACTGTTTAACAAGCAAGGCCGTGTTTCATCACACACAGAAGGTACATGGTAGAGGAAGTAGTTACAACTGATATCAACACAGGCATTCAAACGTGAAGATCAACAGAAATACTTCAAATATACATTCAAGAACGACATCACCCCATTTAGACATATGACATCATCAAGTGATAACAGCCATTGGTGATGTTTCAAACCTGGGCATTATCATTGAGATGCAGACAGAGTTAGCAGCATTTAGACTGTGTCCTGCAGCCAGTGTGAAGAGAGCACAGGGACACCTTTACATTCCCCCAACAGCCAGTGTTAGTAGGTGTACAAAACTGCAGAATATAAGCAACACTTCCACTTTCTTTTTAGGTCTCAGGCTGTCTACACACGACGTTAGACTAATATACTTGTAAGCCAGCACTGTCCTCATTGAAGTGATTTATGATGCTAAACACTGATATAAATATACAAACAGTTCCATCACTCCTTTCATTGTTGACTCAGCTCTCAAGTGTGAGCCAAACATTCAAATAGTCAAAAGATTGAATATAGGCAATATACTTAGCTTGTGTCTAGTCCAACTTTATAACAGTCTAACCCTATTCTGCATGCACACCCTCACACACACACTGAAGCCATTCCCCCAAAGCAGGCTCAGGACTCATGCTGCTCACCTCGTTGTAATTTGCACAGTTCTTGAAAACCAGACGCATATCGGACACAAAGTCCTGGATGGACTGGTAGTACTGGGAGTTCCGTAACTGAAGCTTCTTCTTCACTTTCTTCAGGTCCATCGGCTGCTTGATTATTTTGTAGTAGTTCGGCACCTAATTGGTCAGACAGAATTTCAAATTATTTCAGAGATAGTCAGTAAATTCTATTTCCCTCGCGAATGAGAGGCTGAAGATATTTGTGCAGTTTGGAATCAACAAAAATAGAAAATCTCTTGAAATAAGGTGGTGTTTAACTACAGCATGATCGCTATTGGTGTTTTCACATTTGCCCAAGACTCCAGAAAATGTCCCCAAATTTTCAATAAGCTAATAGTGTTAACGCTAACATTTTCTCATCCTGACTTCACCTGGATATTTTCCAGCTAGAAGTCGGGGTGACTTCAGCGAGCAGGGAGGGTTGGTGACTTTTATTTCAGTGAGCTTTATGCATGTAATGAAGCAGTTTCTTTCTCTTTTCTTATTGCCAGTACGTTCTTTTCCCCTCACATAGCATTGATATCAAGGCTAAAAAAGACATCATGGTGTTGGACTCTGACGATAATCAGCATCTTGGATTTCCACAGCGTCTCTTTAACGTCATGTCCTGCCTCCAAAAGACTCCCCCACAAATCCAGTCCAACACGGAAAACTGTGAGCGACATGTGTGAATAAGCACCCCAAAAAGATTCCAGGGTCAGGCTGGTGCATGTGTGAAAATATTTTCTAGACTAGAATCTTTGCATACTTCTGGTGACTGGTCAGGTCAGAAGAAGCTGGATTCTGGTTTACATTAGAGTACATGAGATTTAACAGGAGAAGAATTTAGCAGAGGGAGGATAACCCAAACTCTTCTTAGCATCTTCAGAGATAAGTGAGCCCTTTGTCCCCTCTATCTGATATCTTACAGACAGAAAGGGATTCAGGGGAGATCAATGGGGGGGATGCTGAAGCTACATGGTGTGTTTCTCAGACTACAACAACACCAGAGATATTTTCTACTGGCAATTTCAAAAACACTGCAGAAATTAATCTACAATTTCCACGCTGTTTCAAGTCATAAATCTTTGTTATTGTGGGGTCCCTGCTCTGCGGCTGTGTGGAAAATATATTCATTAATACTGTTCCTCATCCCGAGCATGCCTCAAAGGATATTAAGAGTTCGTTCAGCAATGAGCTTGGAATGATTGCGTTAACTCTTATGTATTAATAATAAATTAGTAGTTCTTCAACTAATCAATTATTTACCACAGAAAATTATACGATGCAGGTTTTAATTATGTGGGAAAAAGAACAAATACCAGGACACAAATGTGGTTTCTCAAGGTGTGTTTTGTGCCTTTCAAAAGAGTGGTTTGGTTAGAATGTAGAAGAATCAAAAAACAAGTTTGACTTTTGCCATGTTATGAGATAAAGAGAGAAGGTAACAGGACAGAAGAATTCAGTTTCGGGTCATTATGTAGTGGAACTGACTAGTGTGTGTGTGTTTACAGGTGTGTGTGTGTGTGTGTGCTTACAGGTGTGTGTGTGTGTGTTTTTAAGTGATGTAGCGCTACTTACAGAGCTAGGGACAGGTTCCCTGAAGCCCACGCTGAGCTCATGACAAAAGATGTGCAGCAGGAGGCGTTCACATCTCTGCAGAGAGAGGATGAGGAGAGAGGATTAGCTGCTTGGTACTGATCATTCAAAGGCCTTTGAGAGTATCGATTCAGTACTGACCCTTTGGTCCTCTGGATTCAGGCTTTGCACTGCTGTGATTTTCTTACTGTCGTCACAGTACTCGATTTCAGGGATGTTGACACTCCGGCAAAACGTGCAGAGAAAGTCACCCCTAAGAAGAAAAATAAACAAATCAAACAGAGAACATTAAGTAAATGTTTTATGATGTGTAACCAATAATTAACTGTTTGGAAGAAGAAAAAAAATACTTCAATAAAGTGGCTTATTTAGACTTGAAGTTAAAAATAATGTATCTGTCTGCTGGTCAATATCTTAAAAATGTTCTGCTATTCATCTTTCATCCATGATCCCTACTATCAACATGCATCCTTGGTTTATTCAATGGACAGCTCTTAGTTCAGATGTGAATGAGTAATTTAGGACACATGGATATCTGATTCTTAGAGCAGTATGAACAAGGTGTCCTCTGCCACACTGAGGGACCCCCTTGTCTTTGAACAGGTGAGACACTTCTCTGCTGTGTCGATTAAATAATCTTGGATATATTTCAACACCAGCATGAACTATGGATTAGACTGGGTCCAAGAAAATATGGGAAAAAAGCGCTTTAAAACAATTCATTAAGGAACACTGCATTTAAAGGGACTACACAGTAAGAAAAAGATGCAAATGTTTATTTGCATATAATGCAGGGGAGGGAGACCGGATCTCAGGTGAACACTGTTCTCTTTTGGACTTGGTGATCCTTCTCATGTGTATTTTACTGTTTCCATAATGGATTCTAACCCTTACACTGGCTCCTGGCTCAGAGTAATCATACGGCTCAAATTCTGATCAATAGTTTCATAGCTGTGTATTTAAGAATACACCATCTACTGTTATCACTTACTTTGGAAATATTTTTATGGTGGGCACATGGCATTTCATGTGGAACACTTTAGGACAGCGGTCACAGCAAAGCAGGTCACCACCATTAATACAGACAGCGCACCAGTCTTCATTGGGGTCATCCTCTTTCCCACCAGAGTTGCCCGTTGCAGAAGCTGCACCGCCTCCTTTGGCCTCCGTCCCCTTGTCAACGTTTCCATTAGTCAGCGCTGTGCTGCTTCTTTTCTCAGAGGATAATGAGGTAGTGGTGTTGGAAGAGGAAGAGGTTGTGGCACTGGAGCCGTTAAGTCCCGAACAAGGAGTGTCAGATGTGGGTTCTGTTTTGATGCGCTCTCCTACAGCCCTGAGAGCATCTAGGCCTGCAGATACAGACCCCACTACAGGAAGGGGACTGTTCTCCGGACTGCTCATCTGAAGGAAAACATGTAGAAAATACAAATTCAAATTTTAACAACTTGTTTATCATGAAAACAAATCTAGAAAAGGAAGAAAAAAAAATGCAATTCATAAAGCAAATGTTTTATATTTCTGACATTTTCTTGTTCCATATTTCCTGGATTTTCCTTTGACAATAAGTTTAAGGCAGGAACTCATTGGGACAAAGTGAACCATATCAGAAAGTAGAGGGTTGTATGGTGACCACAAGCACAATGTAGTTAGGAAAATAAGCCACCCACAAGTGCAGCAGATGTGTGAGGTATGCTGCAGTCACATTCTAACACCGTGTCTTATATTGAAACTACTGTAGGAAGAGCTGTGTACATACTAGGGGTGCAGAAATCCAAAATTTTCTCTAATCGATTACTCTTCCCATTGTTAAAGCGAGTACTCAAGTAATCGTTTTGAAGTTCTTTATTTTTCTGTGATTCTTTTTCCCCACGGGAGGCCCCGCCCCCGACTATGACGCGATGCCGACTGTATCTATTGATTAATTTGAATCTTCAGGATTTTAATAATTGTTAGTAAGAGGTCTTTGTATTAACATTCAAATTAGGACATTTCTTACTTCAACAGACAGCAAACCTCAAAAAAACCTTAACACAGACGTGTTATGACCGTTTTAACAGTTAATTTTAATTAGAGCAGTGTGGCGAGCGGACGTGCAGACATCAGTGCGCACTCATCGCACATTGAAGCTGTTTTGACAGAAACATTGTGTTAACAAAGACTACAGTCTGCAGTGTAGAGCACACTTTACTCTGGTAAATGAAGTTACAATAGAACTGGTGAACAATTTAAGTGTCTGTCTGTTTCATCTTTCTCCTCTGTGCATAATGACACACTCTCTCAATCTCGCTCGTCTGTCCGCTATGAGCTATTTCTCCCTATAAGGTTGTTCCATTTTGTAGTTATTAAAAGAATAATCATCTAAAATTCCAAAATATAGGAAAACATCTAGTTATGCTGCTCTGTCCTGGATGATCAAACGTCATTGGTTTAGCAGAGTAAAGCGGTAATCGCAAAGTGAAAGTCCTTCTTTTTCTGTGGACTAAAAACACAATTTGAACTGAACTTTCGTAGATCATATTGCATATTTCATTTGTTTGGGACTTTCTGTTCATTGTGAATTCATAAAGGGGTAAATTAAAGGGATATTTTTGTTAGAGTAGCAGCGTACGGATCAACAACAGATGCGCTTCAGCACAGAGCCTTTATCAGCGCTTTGTTTATCATCTATTTTCTTTTTGCGCTCGTGCTCCTTTTTTTCTGTTTTGAATTAGGCCTATCCTAGAACCCACAATGCAACAAGAAACATTTACAAAAATGTGGACTACAAAACGATTATCGATGACATTTTTTTTGTAACCGATTATTATTTAATGAACGAGTACTCAGGTACCTGAGTACTCGTTTTCACCCCTAGTACATACCATGCAGGCACTTCTCCCGGCATCTTTTCCTCGCTCTGTCTTCATAGATGTAGCTGGGCAGCTGTAGCTGTCGTCTGTTCCTGGCTCCTGCTTCACCTTCACCTGCTCCACAGCTGCTCCGCTTCCTGCCCCAGCCCTCCCTGCAGAGCTACAGCTGAAACACACATGGGAGCAAAGCACTGAGAATATTTTATGCATTTGTTTAAATGGTATTATTAAAGAAAATCAAGGGAATAAAATATTGTTAAAGACCCTTGAGCAAATCTCATAGGTGTAGATCTTTTAATAGAATTTGCATGACTTTGTATTATAAATGCTTACAGGTGTCTGTTCCTTCAACCACAGTAATATTGAGTTTTATCTGCTGCCATTTTCAATCTTATAAAATTAATGAAGACATTGTTTTGTCCCTCTGTGTTTTTTTTTTGCAAGAGCAAGAATGTTTAAATATGCTAGCTTACGTCCTTATAGGTTTAAACAGGGTGTCTGGTTTGTAAAACACCTTGATGACTTCTTACCTGCCTCGGCTGCCTGTGCTTGACGTGCTGGAGGGTCTTGCTGGTGTGTGGGCATTTGACAGACCTGCAGACAGAAATGAGACAGGTAAGTAAGCAGCAGTGATAAAAGTATCTGAACACTGAGATGGAAAACATTTATAAGACTTATATTCATAAATCATGGTGATCACGTATTTCTCAATTAATTAATTTAAGATCATAGTCTGAAGTAATCAATGATCTGAGTAGGAAAACTTTAGATATACAGAAAATTAGCATTCAGCACTGAACATGAGGGCACCTGAAGATCCAGAAGAGTGAGACGAGAGTCCAGGAGAGGGGTTCATGTCCACTGAGCCGAGCTGCTGCTGTGTGCTGGCTGAGATGTAGCGAGTTAAGAGGTGACCCAGGCTGCTGGAACCTGCGTCCTCCAACTATTGATCCACAGAAGCACAGTAGTGGGGAAATAACAAACAGAAAATCAAGTCGAGTTAAAGATCAGGGAAAAATATCACAAGACGACGAACATGTATCGACTCATTTTGACTGCTAAAACTGCTCCACCACATCAGACCTCGATAGCTTCTCCACACCGGTCTCAGTCAAGTTAATATTTACTTCCTTGTCCTGCTTTTTATTCTCCCATTTGTTTCCCTTTCCATTTAACATTTTTCATAATTCTCTAAATATTGTACAATTTTTCAAAGAAAAAAAAGAAAACTGTTATATCTATTTCATTTTTAGACAGGAGAGGGACGATTAATCTCAAGTCCAGTCGTTTAACTTATCCTGGATGTTTCTGAAGTGGACACCTTATCAGGCATTAGAAAAGTAACTTAGTCTGAAGGAGATTTTTTGCAATAAATGTTTTTATTTTTTTTGCTCGTCTGCAAAGTAAACTAAAGTAAAAAAGCTGAAAACAAAATACAGGGGAGGCTGTATGAAGGTAGAGATGCGATGAAATGCAGCAAAAAAACATTTGCATAAGCAAAACATTTGAATTTAAATCATGTTATGTGGCTCAAGCAGGGTTATTTAAGCATCCGATTTTGTCAGTGCACACACTGGACTGTCAGTCACAGTACCATGAGGAAATATCAAGTAAATAAATAAATGTAAAAATGTGCACACCTGAATAGGAGGGATCTCAGGTAGGCAGGGCAGGTTCTCTGGATTGGTGACGGAGGGGATGAGCTCGATAGGACCGATGATGGGACTGGCAGGGCCACGGTGGGCGTGGGCACCAGCCATACTGGCACTGGTGGGACTTGTGGGGTTGGCATTATGGAGGGATGCTACCGGAAAAGGGCCTGCGTGCCCCGGGTTGGAATGCTGCACAGAAAAAGGAGAGGGAGGGATGAAGAAAGAGAAAAATGTAAATAGGAGAGAAGTACAGAAGCCAAATGAAAGGAAGATAGGAAAAATGAAATTATTAAGTTTCCTCTGTGAAACAACATGGTTGCATGCTCATGCATGATTTGGGTGACAACACATGCTGCACAAGACAATGACAAAATAGGAAAAAGTGCCAAACCCCTGATTGTAGTAAGAAACGAAACCTTTGGTGGCTCATCTCAGATTCTATAGACATCTGGACACAAAAAAAAGGAGGCTGGGTATAGTGGGGGTTTCTTAGCTAGTCTGACATGCAGGCAGTAAATGTGCACTTTCATACTGTAGCCGATGTTCGACTTAAATTACTAATAAAATATTCAGCTTGATAATAACACATACGGTAGGTAAGGTAGTGTGACGCAGGACTGAATAAGAATATTTTGACATTGCTATGAACATAACATTTTAAAGCAACTTTATAAATGTAACAACTAAGCCTTCATCTGGTCATCTGCAGCTTTGGAACCAAACTAAGAGTTCATCAATAGTAGTCATTTATTACAATTTTTATTTAATTTACAATTTTTGTAAGAAAAGTTTTGATTTAGTTTTAGCTCAAAACTAAATCAAAACTTTTCTTAGAAAAACTGTTCAGGGAACCCCCAAGTGTGAATTATTCTGACCCTAATTTGAAATAAGCAGACAAAATGTTCTTTAAATGTTCCCTCTCAGACCCCTTTGAAGCAGTTTAACTATAAGTGGGCTTGTTTGTTTATTTCTTGCACGCACACACACACACACACACACACACACACACACACACACACGAGGACACGCATGCACACAGACACAGCTGATGGGAGGTTGTCACACTCCTCCTCCTCTCACAGGTGGCAGCAACATGTCTGTTCAAGCTGCATGGTGCCAACAAAAACAGATTAGGAGAAGAATTCAAGCTTAAAGCTGTAAATAATGCTTTTTTAAACTCAGCCGTAAACTTTTATTGTGTGTACGTTTAGAAGTCCCTAAGGGCAAAAGAGGTACACATTACGTCTTCGGTCTCTGCTGGTCCTAAATTCAACATGTTTCTTTTACACCCCTGTGATAAAACAATTCTCCCTTTGAGCAAGCAGTTATATGTCAGCATATCCTTTGTTTACTTCCAAGAAAACACTACAGGGTACATTTAATATGAAAATGTTATGAAAACTGGAACTTTGCATTTACATTTGAATTGTAGCTCAAGACATGGTAGTTTGCATTTTCATTTGAATAAAAGGCAGTATCACTCACGAAAAGAAGAAGAAAAAACCTCACCGAAGTCTATAGTAGTCTACAGAAGTACACTAGTAGCTTTTCCAACATTTCCATCAACGAATGTGTTGCACAAAAATTCCAAATCACATCAAATCAGTTTATCAAACTGAGGGTACTTTAAAATCGGCAGTTGTGCGTGGGCTGACCTGTCTTTGAAGCTGAGGCTGCATCATTGGTGGATACTGCTGCCCGTTATGTCTTGGCTGAGCTGTTGGCATTCGCCCCCCCTGCGTTGGACCCGGGAGACGCATATGGTGGGAATTTGGGTACATGGGAGGACCTGGCCCACCATTCATACCCCCAGGCCCTCTCGGTAGCTGCTGCATGCTGATGAGCCGTGGAGGCTATAAAATTGCACAAATACATACCCAGATTTAATGAAAAATCTAACCGGTGGATAAACACTGATATGGAATTGTATGCAAACAGCAGATGATTTTTAGGTTAATGCAATTAAAGGATTAAATGATTTAAATAGTGCTGGTATGATCAGTATATTCATTTGTCGATGAACATGGTTCATACTGAAAATCTAAATCTTTTAATGGCTAGACATGCCAAATATTCACAGGATAGAGATTATAAAACGATTTGAATTGTTCACCCTTTTATTCTTAAGTAACATCAACATACACCCATCACGACCCAGCAGGGAATTTAATAAACAGTAGCAAGAAAAGGAAGACAAGTCCATACCCTTTCTCAATGCCATAAAAAGTCACAAATCGCAACATTAAATCCCAATCCAATTTTTTTTTTTTTACTATCATCGACACTGTTCATTGTCTATGTCAGCACAGCTTAATATAAGCTTAGAATATGGTTGAAAGCTATTCAAAGTTAAACCCATCTATAAGTCACCATGGTGATCAATTAAAGAACAGATACTTTCCATGTTGGATTGAAAAAGGTTTTGCATACCTGCTGCTGCACCATGGGTTGGCCGGCCTGTCTGGCATGCTGCTGGGACATTTGAGAGGCTATGCGCATCTGTTGCTGGATCTGCTGCTGGTGCTGTTGCTGCTGCTGCTGCTGATGCTGCTGCTGATGCTGATGGTGTTGTTTCTGTTGTGCGTAGGCTGCCTGCTGCATGTGCTGCAGCCGGAGCTGGGCAAGATTGATCTGTCCCTGGTGTTTGCCTGGGTGACCCTGACCCGGTGAAATGGGTGGTCCTCCTACCATTACATTGGGTGGTTGTGCAGGTGCTTTCTCAATCAACAAATTACCTGTAATAAGATCAGGATCACATGTGCTTATTAGGCATAAAGAAGTTATTTTCTCCAAACAGGGGCCTTTTGACTAACATCTACTGTATGTGATACACTGACTGTTAATATGTAACCCCATACAAGACATTTGTAAAATTCCCTTAGTGACGCATCTTCCTGCTATCCAAGACCAAACTACAGAAAGGCAGGACTTTATGGCATTATAGTCAATATGTCACCTTGACAAAAGTAAAGAGAGGAAACAGTAGAAGGTCACATGCAGGTCTCACCTAGATTCACAACGTTTTTGGCCCAGAAGGTTGGGTCACAGAAGAAGCGCACCTCACCATTGGCTTTGGGTACTGGCTCTAGTGCTGACTGAAGGCGCTGATGAAGCTGGTATAGGATCTATATGCGCACGCCACACACAGGCACAAACACAGGCGCACACACAGGCACACACACACGCACAAACACACGCACAAACACACGCATACGCACACGCACACAGGCACAAAATGTGTCATTCAGTTTCTGAGCTCGAATATATCAAAACAACAAGTAATCCCTTTGTCAAGATGCTCTATGGGAGCATAAATCCACAATCCCACAAGATAGGTGTCTTCTCGTTATCTCATTTGCTGACTATTCTTATGCTAAGTAGTAGTGGTGAAACAGATCACAGCTGCTCCGGGATGCATTTGTATCACCCCCATGCAGATTTATCCACTGTACGATAGTTAGTAAATTGACTCTCTAAACATTTGGACTTTCACAAAAAAAATTGTCATCAAGTGTTGATATTTACATTGTGTATGGCAACTTTGTTTCAAACACTGCTTCAACTTTTCTCTGTTTCATCTCACAATGTGTCATAAGCCATCAATACAATAGAGGAAACAAGATAGTTCTTCAACATGAAGTTAAGAAAAGACAGGGTCAGTAGTGTACTATGAACAACATGTCATGTTTTAAGAAAACTACTACATGTAGACAACCTCACATCTGATAATAACAGATATGGCAGTTCAGTATGAAATCTAACCAAAGCCAAATCTAACTCTCTCTAGTGATAACCAACCAGTTATTTAACGCAAATGTCGTTTGGAGCCTGCTTTTGAGGAATGCCTTTCAAACTGCTGAACATCTGGAGCTCGTGATAAACGTACCAGCCTCTTGCTGTAGAGCAGCGCAGTGTGGCTGCCAGTGTTAATGGCCCAGTGGCAGAAGTTCAGCACATGGTGGATCTGTTGGGCCAGGCGGGTGGTATCTTTGTGCTGAGCCACGAGCCTCATGCTGCGCTCTTTGGTCACACCCTGGACAGAAAAATCAGATTATTATGGCGGATACTGAGAGTGTCTGAACACCCTTGTATAAAAAAGAAAAGAAAAAGGAAATGGAGTCAAATATGCTGCCATGGTATTACAAAAATTAAAGCATGGGTAAGACGATTAGATCTGTTAATATCCCTGTGGGGAGCTTGGGTTATTCAGCAAAGACAAACAAATGAATAGATAAGAGCGTAGCGAATGGGGAAAGTAGCCCCATATATACATTCAACAAATTGGATTCTGTGAAAATTCTGTGTTCTACATCAGTGGTTCTCAAACTATGGTACGTGTACCACCGGTGCAGCAAGCAGCAGGTATTCTGTTAATGTAGGCCTACATTAACAGAATACTTGCTGCTTGCAGTTGTTTTCAGTACTGTACTATAACAGACATTACAGAATATCTGTTAATATAGCATTAACAGAATATAATATATCTGTTAATGTAGGCCTACATTAACAGATATATTATATTCTGTTAATGTAGGCCTACATTAACAGAATATCTTCTGCTTGCTGTTGTTTCAGTACTGTACTATAACGGACATTAACATTAACAGAATATCTGTTAATGTAGGCCTACATTAACAGATATTCTGTTATTTATTGGAGTTCAGCATACAATCCGCAGCAAGCAACTGTACATTAACATTTTTTAAAATGTTAATGTTTGTGTGGGAAACACTGAGATTAAATATTTCCAAACAGGTTGTTGGTATAAAGTCATCATTTTTATTGTGCTGCACTTTTGTGTGTGCAAGTTCTAGCACTAGCCCTTAGTAGGCCTACAGTGTGGCTGCCAGCGGGCAATAATAAATAATATTCTTTTTATGAATTAATTTGCCTCTTGCATGAAATGTGTGTTGAAATAGGCCTACAGTGTATTTTAACGTCTACCATAATGGTGGTACTTGGAGAGCCAAATATTTTCGGAGGTGGTACGCAGTCTAAAAAGTTTGAGAACCACTGTTCTACATATTAAGAGAACATTTCAATTGATGTTCCTCATTCAACAACGTCAGCTTCATGACATTTTCTTAAACTGCTGAATTAGTTGCAGCTTTGTCCTTGAATGCCATTGTTCTTGTGAGTTTTAAAATCATAAAGTTGTTTGCAATAAGCAAAGGAAAACGCCACTTAAAAAGGTGTGAGACTGCAGCAAGCTGTAGCTGTAAAACCACAGAATATTTTACAAATTTATCGTTAAAAGGTTTGGCCTTCAAATTGTAATACAAAGAGTTTTAACATTCAAACAATGAATAATCAAAATAAAGATTATTCCACAGAGGATATTTATCAGGTGGAACCTTGCGGCTTGCAGCATGTATTTTCCTGCAGTGGTACATCAGTGTGCGCACCCAGGTCCTGTTCAGTGACCCTCTGTCTGATCCCAGGTGAGATACTTACTGCAGCACTACTATAGTAAACGGACTTAAAAACTATCACACATATTGGTGTACTACATGTAAAAAATCACAGAAAACTGTAAACTGTATATGTTTTCATAAGCTGATGGTTTAAGTTGTGTCTGATTTTAGGGGTAGCTGCAGCAACCTCGGCACCTCTACTTCCCATGTCTGTATGTATTTGAAATGCAACCATGCTAGATCCCTTATCTCGTAAGGTGGAGATCTAGTAATCATGAGATCTAGTAATCATGAGATCTTGATCTTGTAATTATGAGATCCTGATCTTGTAATTACAAGTTAAGGGATCCCATTTCGCAGATAGTGTCTGGACATCCTTGACAACCGAGAGAGAAAAGCCCCAATGCTCTCAGAGATAACTTCAACACTGGGTACCATCGCTGAAACATTTGACGAATCAAAACACGCATGTTAGCTCTCAAATATGCAAAGGTGTGCTCTTGGGTGTGAGTGGATTTTGTTCTTCACTAAGACAAAATCCCACATAAGACAACAGTTGTTAATTTCAGAATCTCCTTGAGAGCAGCATTAATGGGTTTAACTATAAATGTGTTAATAGGAACTGTTGGTGAATTAGTCCCACTGTACTTAATCATGAAGTCATTTATTTTAATTCATGTTCTCTTACCTCCAACTGCTGCAGCAGAGACTTGCCCTTCTTGTTGATCTCATTAATGAGAGTAAATACTGCAATTTTGATCTCATGCTCCACCTTCTTGTGGGTCTGATTCAGCTCTTTTAACCTGCATGACAAAACACATAGAACCTTTAGAGACCGTGGCCACCAGTACATATGCTGACTGTTTATGTTAGTCCATTAACATACTGTAGCTATTTCAATCAAAGCACAGAAAAGAAGCTAGTGATGGAGGAAAAAAACGCACCTGCTTTGAACCTGGTTGATAGAATAATGGACGTAGTTCTTCTTCTCCTGTAGCTGGGCAACTTTGGACTCAATGAGGCCTTTCTGGTGTTGGCAAGCCTCCTCCAGGAATTGGTACCTAAGAGATAATGGTTCAGATATTTTTTTCTTTCTTTAAAACACTAGAATCGCCAGCAAAAAAACAAATTATTTTTTGGACTTTCTTTGATGGAAATGTATTTTACGTTCATAACAAAACACTTACTGTGAATTAACAGCTTATTACAAAAAAAAAATCTTAAAAATTGCACCATGTTACATGAACATCTCTCATTCTCACTCAAACTAATCTCCACTAGATAATATTGGGTGTCAAACCCTTTATTACCTTTATTCTCCTTTATTGTTAAAAATACACCGTTTCAATTAAAGAATAGTTCAATTATTTGTATTAAAGAAGCATGTATGAATGCAACTTACGTGTCTTTCTTTCAAGTGCAAAAGATTTATGAGAATCTGACGATGAATTAGTTTTCTTGACTTTGCAAAAATCTTTCTGTACCACAAGGTGGAAGCTTTAACTCACATTAAAGATTTTTAGCAGTTTGAAAATAAATTACTAAAATGAAATACAAGAAGGTATTTGTATCCAAACCATAAGCACTTCAAACTACTGCATATCTTCACTTGTTGCTTTGCTGGAAATCAACCTTCTGCAGAAGATCCTATATGATGTTAAATATTGAGCTCCCCCTGTTGTTCTGATGTATTTAAACACATTGCACAGTTTTTAGGCAATGACAGCAAAATATGTGATCTTACATGCTAGTCACTCTACTTGAGTGAATACTGGATTTTTCCTTCACAGGAATGTGAAAATGTGTTCTTACTGTTGGCTTTGGTTTGTGGTATTTCTTCAACCGATTAGTTCTCTGTTCATTTATTCTAAACGTCACTGTGGCATTACCTCTTTTTCTCTCTATCTCTCTCAATGTTTGGTCAGTCAGTCTGGAATTTCTGCTGATGGGTTCTCGTGGGACGGCCTTTTGAGACATGTTAGTGATTTGACAAAACATAACCTAGGTATAATGATTCAGAAAGTCTTACATTGTCAGGTCATTGTTGACCTTTTTTTACACCTATAATGGAGGTGACATGACATATTTTTGTAAATCTGTTTCTTAAAGACAAACTCATCTTGAAAGATGATGGTCAGGTGGGTATAAAAGTAGGTGTACACATTTAAACCAAACTTCAATATCAAAATGGTCAAGTGGTTCAATGATGAATAACCTTTCAAACATGTTCCGCTTCTCTGCAGCTTTTCAAGTGTTCTAAGATGAGCTGAACCACTGGCTTAGAGCGAGGTAGGAGTATGCTTTCTTAAGAAGTCAGTGGTGTTGGGCCACGCAGGCTTAGGACAGTCAAACAATGGACTTGGGCCTGCACCTCTGTGAGAAGCCTCATTTGAGTTATTCACTGAGATCACAAAGAGGCCTAAAAGGACTCTTAATCCCAGAATCCCCTGCAGTACTTCACACCTATGCGTGAAGTTAAGGGGGGACCAGAACCTCTCTCTCCTCATTGAAGGGGACCTGAGGTAGACCCCCCATGAAGCAGGCCAGGCTACAAATCTCACCTCCTGTTTTCTGCAATTATCTTCCTTTGTTTTAAGTTTTGGCGCGCAGGTAATCCGCGCCCGGCAGATTGTCCAGTGAACGCATCTCAGTTTCTCTGAGAGCGTCAGACTATTACAGGTTATCAGAAAGATAACGGTCTTATTCCGTCCTGCAACGAAAGGACATCAACGGACATCATTCCACTCGACAGAGAACCAACGAAGCCGCTCTTACCGTAAGGGACCCTCGCCGCCATCAAACGCCTCTGCACCAGAACGGACAGAAGATCTGTTTTATCGCCGGACTCCTTTTTCCTTCACCAATCGCGGGCAAAGCGATTCACAGGTGAGGCTTAATTAGGTCTGGGCAGAATTAGCTTTAGAGAGTGTTTTTAACAATTGTTTGATTGATGCAGAAACTGTAATTTTTCTCTTTGTTGGACCGCTGCGTCCTGAGTTTTACCTGTTTAAAACTCCTGTTGTTCCCGTTTCGGACCGCTGCGTCCTATATGTGTTTAGCGTAACAGCGTTATAACCGAGTATTACTTATCTGATCAGAAAGGCCAGTGTAAACCGTATTAACTTGAATTCAGCCATTGGTTTCTTTCTGTGAATGAAGGGAATTACTCCGAGTTGTGGCGCGGGATTCGGACTGTGATCCACAGTCCCATGTAGACGCACATCTGGAGACTAACTCCACCACCGCGCCATTATGCACATAGGCTACACACACACATAGAGATCTGTACACTCGCAGCCATCCATGCGCCTCAGAGACACCGATCGTGCAGGGCCGAACTCGGCCTCTTTTAGACAATAAGACCACGTTAGGTCTTTGTTAGGTGTGCGCCATCAGAAGGGTGACCACGTGGGAAGAAGCAATCTCCCCCTTCTCTCTCTCTTTCATTCACAGACACCCAGGTCGTTGTTAGTTGTGCGCCACGCACGTATGCACGCTCTTCTTTGGTATGGGAAGAAGACAGTATTTTTACAGTACGGTTGGACAAAAAGCATTGTCATATAATGAGCATCTCTTGTTTGAGAATGTTTGTTGCTTGGATTACTTTATGATATTTATTGATTAAGTTCATTGATTTTGGATTGATGTTGCTTTGTTTAAATAAATTCTGTTATAATTTTAAGAGAGCAGTTGTTTGTGATTACTTGTCTATTTGCATTGTGACATAAGCTGAGTGCGAAGGCTTTGTGTACGGATTTCACGCCTTAAATTTATTAAATATAGTTATTAATTATTAATAATATTATTAATTAAGTAATTAATTTGAGACTGATTTGAGTGATATTTTGGTTATATTTCCCTGATTACAGGGTGGTGCCCCAAACGAGATTAAACATAGTTTAATGATATTGTTATTTATATTATTAATAATTATTAAAGAATATAACCAAAGTTGACTTGATACAACCCCAACAGTGGTCACACATGACGTATGAGAAGAGTGGAAGATGCATTTCGCGCACCATCCTCCAAACTTGACAGACACACTTTCATAACCTCACGTTTGAGTCTCAGTCCAAGTTTATGACCTGCATGTGGGGGCCTTGGCTCAATAATAACTGTACAAAAGAACACTTCATAAACTCACTCTTGAGAATGAAAATGATTAACATAATTTCTTTCCTAAAACGTAAAGACACTTCCACCTTAACTATGGGATAAAATATACAAGAATATTTGAAATAAGGACACTAAGTTTTCCGAGGGAGATTTTTATGAGCGAAAATGAGAAGTGGTCATGTGACCTGGTGCAGTTTATTAGGATTAAAAATAATAATAATAAATCAATACTCAGTCAGCATTTTATTATGAATTTGAAATAGAATTGTCATTACAGGAAAGTTACACCAATTTTTGCTTCTGCTGTCAGCTAATGTCCTTTAAAGAAAATCAGCAAAAATCTGTATCAGCAGGTTAGACCTTGTAAGAAATTAGAATTCGGCCAGAAATTCGGCCAGGCAAAAAATTTCAAACGGTGCATCTCTTCAGATGAGGTTTAGGTTTAAAATACAGGTACCGTTCCAGTTACAGAAAGGAGACGTGTGTGTGATGTCTGAGATGTTGAGGTACCTGTGCTCCTTGTGCTCCAGCAGCTGGCAGTCCCTGCAGGTCAAAGTGTCACAGGTCTCACAGAAAAGCTTGAGTGGCTCCTGCTTGTGGATGGGACAGAAAACAGGCCTCTGTCCTGAAGCACCAACAGACTCTACAGGAGAAAAGACACCAACAAATAAAGCAGCAAATCAATCAAAGAAACGGGTATAAAAGACAACAATGACAAAAATAGACAGCAAAAAGAGTTGTTCCCAAAGCCTGGTCATAGCTTCAGGGTATGTGGTCCCCCAGGCTAGTGGTACCATCCAAGCAGCCAAATTCTGCAGTATTGTTACCACGGCAACAGCTTATCAGCAGCACCACATTCACTCTGCTACAGTAAGGGCTTGTCTTACAGAGGCTCTAGCAGTTTTGCAGTGAACCTCAGAACGATCTTCACAGTGAGGGTCAGTCATCTCACCAGAGGCAGTGTCAGCATCCTCCTTTGTGTGAATCTTGTGGTCCTTTGTGATTTTCACCCTCTGGTGGGCCTCCACGCAGGTCTTACATAGCCATTCTCCGCACTCCACACAAAAGCCAATGGTTCCTGCGTTGTCCTCACAACTTGTGCACACCTTCAGAAGACAGACACCAATGAGTATCTTGAAGAACACTACCTCGAGTCAGAGGAAGACTCACAGTCTGTCCTAACAGCATGTGACACGAGCTAGCATCAGCGAAAAGATAAGCTTGAGGGTCCTCAAAGCCTACGAACGACGCGGCGCAGAACAACGCGCCACACTGTTTTTACCCCGATGTCCCGTTTCTATTTTCCTCTGTGTTGCTCACGTACCATGAGTGAGGAACGAGGAGGCTCAACAAGGCACTGGCTTTTCTCATTCAACAGAGCTTGTTAGCTGGAGATAGCGGTGCAATAATTACACCCATATCCATGTTGAAATGTTGTGCTTTGAATTGTGTCAGCACTCAAGAAAACTTAATTTGGCGATCAGCGAGCCGCTTATTGACAAGCCTTTGAGTGTTGTGATTTGAGTCAACAGCTTGTCATTGCAGAGCTTCCCACTTGCGTTTGTCCCCCTTCAATATAAAAGCACTAGATGTCATACTGTTTGCAAGGGGGGTCTAAAATTCAAAGAGCAAAGAATTAAATATTTAACAGATGCAGTGTGGACAGCAAGCTGGCAATCGTGTGCGACGTGATGTGATACCCAGTGCACCTGTGCTGTTAGGACAAATGAGGATGTCTTGATGACTCTTTATTCTAATGACATATACTTTGAAAAAATGTGGAACTAAAACGCATGAGCATGGTTTAAAGAAAAGTATTTTGACTACTTATTGCTCACTGATTTGAGAGGATATTATGTACATCTAAAATTTGGAGTCAGAGCAATGTTCAAGAGATGCAGTGGAATTTTTTGGAGGCTTTTTGAAAGCCATTGCATCAGAACGAATGGACTGTTCTTTATATTTCAGTGTTAAATTGGAAGATTTTTTTCATACATTTAATCCCTGCAAATGGGGCAAGCAATCTATTGTTCTCCCAATAGTGTAATAATTTTATTACATTATAGAGTGAGTCAGTATCATTAATTGGACAATAACATTGGAAGAATGGGGTTGTATATATATATATATATATATATATATATATATATAAAAACATTTTTATTTCATTTGCTTCTCATAGAAGCATTTTTTGTTCAAATGCATCATGAGGCAGATTTGAGCCTGTGTGAATCGTAATAT